GAAAAACAACCGGACTGATCTTGATTCAAGTAATGAAAGCACTCGAAGGCTTCGTGTCTGCGGCCATGTTCACAAAACAACGACATTAGCAGCCAAAAATGTAAATGCAGAACCTGCATGTTTTGTAATGTGTAGGAAACTGCTTCAAAATTACAATATGGTAGATTCTATGATACTAGGTTACCTCTGATAGTTTGAATTCCTTATTTCGTAAGATATGCTAGTCTAGAATGACACGTAAGTAGACCCTCATGGTTCTCCATTTACGGATAAAGCTAGAACACGTCCATACGTTTCAGCGGAAAGGAGGTTCTCGCAAAACGGGCAATAAGAGTAATTATCAAATTATCGAAAGGCAGGACTTATCAACACGGGCTGGCCATGGAAAAAAGCAAACGCAATGGTGCTACAGAATTTGTGCCTAGCAGAAGGACAATTTTTGGATAGCAGTGACTGAAAAGCTACCACACAGAACGCTAGGATGATTCCCAACTTATTAATTTTTGCAATGACATTAATGAGGTGATTTTCCATAAATCCGAATGGTTTCAAGGTTAAAGACTGTCTAAACAATGATTTTTGTAAAACTTTTCAGTGAAACAAATCACATGTAAAAAGATCTGTAGAGCTGTGAACATGGTTGCATCACCTATTTCATCCCAATGCTAGATAAGTTCGTTCCATAAACCTATGGAAATAAGATGGGTATTGCCTGACCCCCACGACTCAACAAGAAAAATCCTAAAGATAATTTACAATCGTAGCTCTAAACTCCGTCACATAGAAATACTAACAAGCAAACGGGATAGAGAAGATCGATCAGTGCTTTGAATACCTGCAGGGAAGGCTACGAATGAGGTCCTGTGACTTGAAGACTTCGATACAGATGGCACATTGGTCGAAACCCTCCGAAATTAATGGATCCACCTGATTGAGACACTTCACCGGCAACTGCTTCAGCACCTTCTTGGTAGCCGCGTTTAGCTTGCGCTAAAATACAAAAAAAACTTGTCTTATTTGAAAATGGTGATATTTTATCAAAATAATTGTTTCTTCCAGCTTAAAGCCACATAGCGACCTTAACCAGACTTGCCTTTCCTAAGAGAGCTTTGATAAGGAAGGTGTCACAGAGTGTAAAGACTTATCGACGACAGCCAAGGTAAGGATAGCATTACATTCCTTCAAAATGAATGTGGCAGAAATAATCTAAAAATTTGTACATGTGATTGATTAAAATTTGGAACAAGAAATGTCTTTTTAACGGCAACATTTATTCCATTCGAAAATAAAGAGGCGGTCCTTCACGATGGATAAATACTTAGAGGCAAATCGGTTTCAATCAAAGAACCTCAAAGCCAAACAAAGCCATTGGATTTTTAAAAAAGACCAGGAAAATCAGCAACCTTTTTTAAAAAGGTTGATTATAAAATAGAGCTGAGAAACAATGTGAGAAAATACAGAATAGCTCTTAAAACGACGCCTTGGCCAACAGATAATGCACCGTTGGTCCAGTATAATTGCGACGATTTTAACTGGTGTCATGATGTCTTATCCTAGAAAATTAATTTAATTAGAAATTATGAGAATAACAGATACTTCTTTGACGCTTGACGATCGGTTCTAAAACTGCGTTGAATGATTTACACTTACGATGCGATTACGAAAATATATGAAACTTAAAATCGACCAAGGAGATAGTCCGCAAGTAACAAACGATTTCCACCCGAAGGGACGTGTGGGAAACTTCCCAGAAGGTGCTAGTATCGAATTTAATAATGTAAATGTACTAAGTGATTTTCTATCCATTTTCGACTGTGGCACAAGGCCATGAACGTTTTACTACCCCATTGAGAATCAGCATCGAAGTATTTAAATATGTTACGAGGCGATCGGACTGGCATTCGCTGAGACGCAAACATGCATTCGCAAGTTTCATAAGCGCAAAAACGGAACAGCAGTTGCATATTTGTCCATTGGCAGGCGTTCATAGCATTGCCAATTCAACAACAAATCGACCTTACTATCAACTATGATAATTTTTGAAAAACGCTAAAGCATAATGGTCGCAAAACCGTTTCTTGCATTTAAGAAGGCCAATTGCATCATGGGGTGTTAAATAAAACAATACTCGCCTCCTACGTTTTCGCAACGTGCTCAAATGTTTTTTTTAAACAAATGTAGACATGAGTTTTTTTGCGGGGTGGACAATGCAATAGGCCCGGACACTGACACTATGTACAGATTGTGCCCCTTTATTAAAATTTCCGTAATAAATGTAAGAAGAAAATGATTATAATTCGAAAGTGATCTAGTTTTCAACAATAATAAGTGTGCGCAACAAATAGGGTGCCTGTCTGAAAGTCACGACTTGTACAGATTTATTAATAGCCTTTAATTAATAGCGGCGGATCACCAATTATTCTGTTAAGTTGTAACGCCTAATTGGCAACCCTAGGTAGGCTAGAACCCCTTTTGACAATCAGGGAGACTCGACCGTCGAAAAGTTGTTTTCGTGTGTCGACTCAGAAAACAGGATAGAATCCATCCCTCTTCATGAAACGGTGTTACAATTTTGATCGATTGCTTTCCGAGGGAGTGCACGATTGGTAGCACACCGGTTTTGAAGGTTAATTGGAGTAATGGCAACAAAACCTGAAAGTTGGTAATTTATTCGCCTTGGCTGGATTAGCAATGTTTCGCAATCCTATTAGACCTTGGCATATTGCTGTGACGTCTGGAACTATACGCTAAATCGGTCAGTTTGCCTTCCAGCAAGAGATTGCCGGTTAAGGGCTACCGTTACACTACTTGTCAAAAAATCTCCAAGATTTAACAAAACCTACATAGACAACTTGCAAACGTTTTCTTGCGCATGCGACATAGTACTCTGGGAAGATTGAATAAGCATAATTCCATAACCTTTTTCTTCAGTGTTTCTGGAAAAAGAGGCCGACAATAGTCTAAGAAATTTACCTTACTGTACAGACTGTTTAGACTCAAGAGATAAGAGGAGTTCCACAATGACCTTAAGTGGTTAGAGTCAATGCTAAAATGATTATACCACATAATCCCACGAGAAATGCACTTTTCAAATAAATCAATGTTCATCAAATCATTAAATCAGTGTTGAATGGTGGAAGCTATTAACAAGCTTATAAGTGCACTGAAAAGCTACTTATCTGCGCCACGGATTCCCAAATTATTGAATCTTGCCTACTTTGGAAAAACGACCTTAAAGCAGGTTTCACTCACATACCGAGCGCCTGCTCTTAGAAGAGTTAACGAGGGAAAGAAAACAGAGACGCTGCCAGAAGCAGATACCCAGGCGAGCCGGGATAAGGAGGACTCCAAGGAGGAGGAAGAGCACGCAGACGATGAGGAGAAGCAGAAGGCTTGAGCTAAGATCAGAGGCGGTGTTGGCGCCAGTAGTATGAACGGTAGTAGGGAGAGAAGGGAGCTCGGCAAACAGCTCGATGTCACCCGTCACTGCCACCTCAGGAAAGGAGGAGGCGACCGCCAACTGGGTCGGAAGGTCGGGGAACATGTCCATAGGGAGAGAGACGAGGAGAGGAGGCATGGAAACCAATCCTCTACCGGTGCGCCTCTGACGCCAAGCTGCTTTGCGACGAAGGGGCGAGGATGGGGGGGAGGAAAATGAGGCCTCGATGGCTTAAATAGTAAGTGAAAGAAGACAAACGAGTTAGAGATACATCAAATAGGATTGGATGTAATACCAAAAGCTCTACCTGAAAGGTAGATAAACCACTATGGCCTGTCTCAAATTTTAAAAGTTAAATCTCCTCTTAAAAGGGCAGTCCAAACCTAATCGTCCCTTTTATTAGTTATCCAAGATGAAATAAATCAAGGAAAGAGAGCACGAAAGTGGCGCTGTCAAAAGTAGAGGAGTGACGAAAGAAACTCAGTAAAAAAGCTCATGATAACGCAACCTATCACGTATTGGTATAGAAATTCATCTCGCATACGTAAAAGCAGACTAATAGCGGAAAACCAAATAAACAGAAATATTTTTTTGAGGAATTACTATGCTTTTTTACTTTTTTTATGCATTTCGGCTTCACATTACCCGAAGCGACATCAACCAAAAGTTGCAACAAAACAGGACATGAAGTAATGATACGATAATGGAAGGACATGTGGGTCCGTCATGCTGTTAGAAGTGTTTGATAGTGCTAAGTTTACCAGTTTTGAGTGACTAATAGAAAAGGGTAAGTGTTACATCCCTGTATGCTGTTATCGTTTTAACGCTTGGGGTTAAAATTTCTGCTAGTTTGATTCCAATTCTCACATACTAAATTTGTTTTCCTACCTAGCCTAGTAAATGCATGAGCGATTAATAATAATAGCAATCACTATAAGGCGATAAAAACTAAGTATGAAACTTTTTAAGGGAAAATTTGGTCAATGAACATATCCGACTTCAGAAGAAACAGAAGCATAACTGGAAGAATCATTGCCTGCAGTTGTGCGGTTGTAAGACAGAAGAGTTCCATCAAGTCAAACACTCATAAGACAACAACCCGTGCAGCCAATGAAATTCTCCATGAGATACACAATAGGAGGAGCCAACAACTGAATGGGAAGTTGCTCAGATACAGACCGTAAAGTCTCGAATGAGTAAAACGATTAAGTCACAAATCACTTCAAAGAAACTATTTTCGGATAAGCACATAAGCAGCTTCATTGTCCCGTTTAAGCAGTTAAAAATACTGCAAAAGAGAGAATACCAAGTTCTGTTCGAAACATAAGTGTATGCCTAAGATAGCGTAATGGAACGATAGCTTATATACTACATGCGCGCACCAACATAAGGGCAATTTCTCCGGTCCATTAACATGTGAATTCTGATACGTGAACATTAAAAATGACAACCTAGATAAAGTATAGAATAGAATTTGAAAATGGTTGGTTAATAACAATAACAGTGAGCAGCAGTATCGTTCTTCCATCTCAAGAGAAAGCAGAATGAAAGAAAATTTAGATAACTTGTTATTCCCGCAATGTGAATAATCAGTGATAGCTCAACTGACTGCAGAGGGCATATCAGGGCGTCCAGTTTACCAGAGCGACCACCGAAAAGGCCTAACTGCAAATATACACAACATAAGCAGAGCTAGCTTGAAAATGAATTTGAAACAATGTAAGGTACTAGTCCAGATATACCTCAAGTTTTAGATAAACCTTTGCTTAGCTAAAGTTCAATGTTGACTCATCACCACAACTGCATCGCCTGTCCCACAGATTAACCCGCAGTGAAATGAATGAATGTAGACATTTGACATTAGAACTGGAAATATAAAGCACATCAGTGTAATGTTTTCATTTTCTACTTTTACGTCCCACAGAGATCTAACTACGTCAACTTTGGAAACATCTATTGCGCTGATTCTGAAGACCATTCTAAGGACCAACGAGTGGTGAGGCGGAAGGTAGAGTGGTTGGGGGCCAAGGGGAAAGTTGAAACTCAAACAAGGTTGGAAAGTCCAAAAAAACTTCAAACCTTCCTAAAGTTGTGGACCTGGATGTTTGGTAAGACTATCAACATTTCGAAATTAAAACCAATTGTTACAAATAAAGTAGGGCCGAAACAAGATGAATCTTCACAAGGGTAAAGCTAACGAAACCTGTAAACGAAAGGGTAAGACCGTAAACTAGAAACAAATCAGCATGCAAAATAAAGTAATTCACTGTTCAAGGACACGTATAACGGCAAAGACACGCAAAATCAAGAAGGACAGTCCCTAATCTCAGCTATTAAGTTCTCGTTAAGCCCTAATGATCCTTGCGACTGTGTAGATGAGCCCAAGAGCGTACTATCTGTTCAAACGAGTTCGAAAGAGCGCGCTCCTCTAAAGGTCTTGAGGTGAATCACGAAAAAGCCCTACTCCTCATGAGGGAAATGGAACTGCAGTGCATCGAAATCACTATCAGTACCGATTGACTGACACGACCAGAAAATACAGGTATAAATTGGTTGCCAAAGTTGAAATGAAGTACCAACTTCAACTGTGAACACTGCTCTTAATACTTTTACAGGTTGTGCTACAAGACTGAAGCACACCACCTAGTCAAAAAGAGGAAATAGTTACTGGCGTAAACCACCTTTGAATACTAAACATGGAACCACTAAATGCCGCTACTTTTTTAAAAATATGTAAAAAGGCAAAACATACTACCATAATTCCTATAACTCATCTTCCCTAGCAGAAGCCAATTATTTAACCGCCTTTGAGGGATCCATACAACTAATTATTCATATGGAAGTGGTGCTTTACCTAAATCCCCGAGATCAGAGGGAACCCGAGAGACTATTGAATTGTGAATAGTAACCCTTTTGCCAGAGGGGAGTAGATATGGAAATTAGGCAGGCAAGACGGGTTAACCGCGTTACAATTACTCACAACGGGCCAGTGAGCAAAGCAGGAGCTACTAAAATTAACTAGATGAGTCATGGGGACGGCATGGTGACTTCGGGCGACATAGACACTGCAACAGCGCCCAAAAAAGTGGACAGGCGCGTATACACGCGCATCTTGCTGACTCACAATGGTAGGAGGAACAATCCGCACAGAAGAAAATGACAGTAAGCTGCTGGCAGATAACTTCGACTTCTACTGAGTAGATAGAATTCAATATTCCAGTCATAAAAAGTAGCAAGGTGTCTAAATCCAGTTTTGGATGAAGAAAACATCTTCGGACCCCTGCAATCCGCTAACTATTGTGCATTAACATGGATAGACAAATGGCTTAAGCAACGCCTACATCACCTCCCACTAGACCTAGCTGGAGTGAGCATGTCGTTTTCATTTCTGGGGAAAACTACGACAAAGAGGTCGCAGTCAGGACTACAAAAACATGTAGATCGATTAAAGGTTTGTGGGAGAACCTAAGCTCTTAATTCACACATTTAAATTCATGGGAAGCTGTCTTAGTACATGCAAGCATTGGTTGTTCGCAAAAGTGGACACAAGTTCACGTATCAAGTAACGCCGCCACGTGGAAGGAATACTGAAGGGGAAAGGAGTTAAAAAGTGGTGCAATAAGTTACGTTGGAATTAAATCTCGGGTACAGCAACGCGTTTCTATTCGGAGTTACGCCCCTCGGTTTGGCATGAAAAGGTTGAAACAACTTAACAACTAAGAACCTATATAGGTGAAAAGTACAGTTACGGACCATTTGACGACGAAAAAAATAAGCAGCAAACTCCAATGCATTGAACCAATTCTCAGGCCTGGAGTGGCTTAGCTATTGACAAGACAGGAGGGTAAGAAGCAGGTGTCCAATGGCCCTTGAAGGCAGTCACTTAAGCTCAGATTGGGACCGATAATGTTGACCATGCAGACAAATCCGTCTACAGTCGCAAATTTATGCAAACGACGTACAATGAGCAGCGCAAAAAGGGATCGAAGTCCACTTTACAGGTCACATGACTAAGGCATTTGTGGGTACTTATGTGCCCAATGTAAAAAAGACACTGATAGCTGAAGAAAAGGATCAAACGAAAAGTTGGAGTCTCAATAAGTTAACAATGACCGTAAAAAGCGCAAGCGCATCGAGGTTGCCATAAAAATCCAAAAGCACAGACAAGCTTCAAGCACATACCGAAGAATCAATTTCGCACAACTAAGATTAAAAAGAACAGTTGAAGGAAGAATTAACTATACGAACCAGAAAAATCAAATGCAGATTGCGCATCATGTAGAAATAGGATGGCTACAGCACCCGCCAGCGAAGATGTATAATTCAGGAGAGCAAACTGTGAACATCCTGTTTGAGGCATATCCTCCATAATCACAGCTATCCAGGAGGAATGTTGCATACGAGGGGGAGGAGAAATGAAACAGCCACTATTGGGACTTTCGTTTTCGCTTTGCGTGGAATGCCATTTGAGACGGACAAGGTCACCTTGGTAAACCTTGTGATATTCGAAAGCTCCATCGTTAACATTGGGTACTCCTCCTACGCAATAGTTAGCAACCTGAAAAGCAATGATACTATTCAATGCACAAAAACTATTAACAGCTCAACCACATCCCAGCTTACACTTAGATTAAAGACTGATGTCGAAAACTTTGCCGAAGAATTAGCAAACGATATGGCAATATCAAATCGTGAGTAACGAACACATTCACCGCCAATAAATGCAGACAGGAGCCATGGCAGAATCCATAATAGTGGGTGCGACATTAATGCCTCACAAAGCTACAACAAAGCTAGTCAGCCCGCGGTAGTCTAGACTCCCCAAGCCAATACAGCCACCGCTCAATCAGAATACCAGTAGCCCAACCTTCGGCAACACTTAAAACAAGCGAGAAAAATGGAATATCAAATGCGCATCTTCAGCTATTGAAAATTGGAAAAATTGAGCTCTCTCCCAAACTTAAATTTAAGAGGCAATCTATGGTGGCAATGGGTTTACTTTACAAAGTATGCCATTTAATTTCAAAATAGGCTGATTTGACTTTTGGTATGATTGCAGAGTTAAAAGTACTTTAACAGTTGTTTGAGACTGTAGGAGCTGTCTGCCTACCCTTTAAGGGAGGGTTAGTTGCAGTAGATTTATTAGGCATTGAATACAGGGCGAACGGGTATAGGAGAACAGACGAACCGAATAGCAGATATCACCCTGAGAGGGATTCCTCACGGCGATTCGCGCTCCAATTTCGGTTCCATCCCTATACAAAGGTCAATTTAAACACTCTAGTATGTATTACAGAGTCATACGCAGTGCCTGTAGTCCCCACCCCGCTAGCAACTAAGTCCTCCAGAGCGTTCTCTCAGGAGACGTTTTGCTCACAAGCGGCATTCCTATGATTTACACTAAGAAGGAAACGTAGAGGAGACAAGGTCTAGTAATTGCGGAGGACGGCTTCCTTACAGACGTGCCGGGAATATCCCTTGAACTGATTTCTCCACCTTCGCTCTGCAAAACCACTTGAACACAATACGTATTTTCCATACTCAAAATTAATAACACCTCCTCCAGAAATCGATAAGCTGTTTCAGAACATGCAATGGGTGGGGTACTTAATATGGTACTGTTTGGCGGACACCTATTTTGTGAAAGAATGTCTAAAATTTATTGTAAAATAAAAACGCGGCTTAGTAAGAGCGATTCGCGACTCTTCATCTTTTGCGGTGTCAGTTATACCGAATGTTCCGACTTTAAATGTCGGAACCTTAAACACGATGTATTAACCGCCGCTTTCACATGTTCACTCGTCTACATGTTTTTGCGCCGTTTTCTATTAGAGCACTTAATGGTCCGCCAAAACTACTCGATTAGGACGTTAGACATTAAGCTAGAATTACCATTTAATTGGTGAATACAATTTGTTTCGTGACGTAGTCCCAAAATGTGCCAGCTTAGTCTTGTCAATCAAGACAAGTCGAACCGAAATACAGGGGAAATGATCCCAAAGGGGCTTCTCGACCTGCTTTAATTTTTTTTATTCGATGAGCAGCTGTAGACATTTATTCCATGAATACGACCCCATTAACGTTATAAAAGCTAAGTACGATGGTCACATCCCGCCATTGGAAAGGTAGAAGATTTTGCTTCTTGCCATCCTTCCCAATTCTCACTCAAAGCAGGAGTTGCGCTTTGTCTATTTTCCCATTTTTACGCAAATGTCTTTAACTGAAAGCAGCAGAATGATAACTTTAATAATTGCAGTTGCATATAACAATTCTTGTTGGCACTCATTTAGTGTCTTGCATCAAAGTTTGTAGAACAGACTCAGATTGATTGTGGAAACTATTGTTTCAAACGCTCATTCAGACCTCCAAAAGTCGAAGGACGTTCTCAGCAGGTACTCAGCTGCGGGTTTATGGACAGTTTGGATAGACGTTCTGATCAACAAAGAAAAATACTGGGGCACTTTTCAATGTAGCCAAAAAGTACTCAACTTCATCAGCAGTGCATTTGTTAAAACTTCAAAGTTCGAAGAGGTCGACTGGTTACGCAGATTTAGACCTTTCTCCAAGACACAAATCAACACGTCTGTTGGTGTAACTGACATTGCCAAGACAACAGCTCATCACATTGTGAAATGTTCAGGCTACGAAGGCGAGGGTCAGAGCAACAAACAAACTACACTGGTATGGAATGTGCAAGAGGTCTGACTATCGTAACCAAAAGGAATGACAATTGTAAAACCATAACCACATGAGTTTGACAGTCGGTTTGTACAATGGGTATAAGATCGCAAATAATTTAGCGATGAATTTACCCATGAAGGAATGTGGGGTGGTGTTAGAATTTCGAGACAAGCAAGACGTCACGTAGCGTACGCTTCTATCGGGATGCGCTGAGGCAGGTAATTAGCAGCAAAATTGAGTTAGTCAAGAGGGCGGACATCTGTCGGTGCTTCTCATTCGTCAGGAGAAAATTGATTTTTTTTTAAATTGAGTCGATCGATTGAGCGTATAGCCGTGTCGGCGAGTCAGTATTCCGTTGAGTTTGGCTTGGAATTAATACGCTAGCGGCCGCAGTGTCTGGCTGATTTTACTGATTTTTTTGAAAACAAGATAACTTAATTTGGAGCATCCGAATTGTCGACTTGGTTTGCTGCTTTCATCTCTTCGCTAATCTCACCATCTGTGTCACTACACCCATTGTTTGCCAAAACCGTTGCTGAATGGTTTCTGCGAAAGTACCAGCAACGTGCAGACCCTCTTCGGATCGATAATGTCTACAGAAAATTGTGCAGAAAAAGGTGAAATTTGGAGTCTAAGCGCAAATTCATTAATCTCACCAACGGGTGTTCCGGTAGCTGGTCAGAATCAGAGGGCGTCTGGGGACATAGGTGATGAACAGCGTTCCACTGAGAAAAACGCAATCACATCGATACTCGACTCGCTTGAAGCCTCCTCCGCCAGCGCGATCACCGATATGATAAATGAAACCACGCACCATCACTTGGATGGGGCATCCCCAGAACGGTCCGGTGAAGTTTTAGGGGTAAACGAATTATGCAATTCCTCTTTAAAAACTTGTAAGGATCCCCCGACCTCATCAGAGTCAAATAATGCGGCCTCATCCAGCCTCATAGGCGGCAATTTCTTGCTCAAAATCCATTCCGCTGACCACCAGAAGGATTCTCAAGAAAAGTCGGTGGCAGAATCCACCTACTCTACTTCAATCTCTCCTTGCTCTGATTCAACTGAAAAAGCTATTCTTAATTCTCCAGAACCTCTGGGGGCAGAAAAGCTCTCCAAAACTTGCCCCCTTTCTCAGCATTCTGATATCTCTAAATCCCAGACCTGTGGTCGAATATACATCCCCGATTCGAAGCTTCAAAACTTCAAGTCAACCACTTCTACTAGCCTTTCACATAAACAAGGGCACATTACTCCTCCAAGCAAATTTCAGCAGCAACAACCCCAGCACGAAAGCCGAATTAAGCTAAATAGAGATCGTAGCTATATTCAACAGCCTCCTGAGTTGCCATACCTCCCACCAGACCCGAACTATAAGACAGTCGCTCCAGCACAGCAAGCAGTAACATCCGGCGCTGCTCCTCAGTCTACCCGAAACCTCAATGGAAGTATCCACGGCAATAATTTCTTTTTCACATCGTCTACTCCTTCAACCATGGCACCTTCAAACGGGAATATCCCAGTCGGATCAGTGGATAATTGTAGTATGAACTTACAGCTGTGTGAACCAATGAACAAGACCAACCTAATTGTCAACTACCTTCCACCTTATATGTCCCAGGATGAAGTGAAGGCCCTATTCTCAAGCATTGGAGAAGTTGAGTCATGCAAGTTGGTACGCGAAAAGACTTCAGGGGAGAGTTTAGGCTACGCCTTTGTCAAATTCGTACGCGCTGCCGACGCAGACAAGGCTATTCGCACGCTGAACGGGTTACGACTCCAGAATAAGACCATTAAGGTCTCAATTGCTCGCCCTAGTTCAGAATCAATAAAGGGCGCAAATCTTTACATCTGCGGTCTGCCGAGAAAGATGACTCAAAGCGAGCTGGAAGACCTCTTCTCACATTGCGGCAAGATCATTACTGCACGTATCCTCTATGACAATAAAACAGGCCTCTCTCGTGGTGTCGCATTCATCCGATTCGATCAGCGTCACGAAGCTGAGCAGGCCATCCGACGGCTAAATGGCTATCAGCCGCCCACCGACCACCCCAACGCCCCACCCAATGAGCCAATTACCGTTAAGTTCGCCAATTCACCTAATTCCATTCGTCATGACAGTCTCAGCTTGGCTTTGCTGAAACAGGCAGCTCAATTGCAATCGGTGGCGGCTTCAGTTGTTACTCCACCTACACGATCAGCTGCGTCAGCTGCTGCGAACGCTGTTGCAGCTGCTGGGCTACTTAGTCCTCTTCAACAATTCGCCTCCATTTCCAACCGCCTCAAGTACTCTTCCGCTCTGACCGGTGGGGCTAGCAGTCAGGGTCCAAATCCAGCCGATTTGTTACCCGCTGTGGCAAGTGCTGCAGCTGTTGTGAATCCACTACTGGCTCCTGCGGTTGCCGCAAGTTCAGGAGCCCTCACAGCCACAGGATGGTGTATTTTTGTGTATAATCTCGCACCCGAAACAGAGGAATCTAACCTATGGCAGCTTTTTGGTCCATTTGGAGCAGTACAAACGGTAAAGATTATCCGAGATCCAAGCACGAACAAATGCAAAGGTTTCGGATTCGTAACAATGAGCAACTACGAGGAAGCTCTGTTGGCCATCCATTCCTTAAATGGCTTTGCACTGGGCAATCGAGTCCTGCAGGTCTCCTTTAAGACAACACCAAATCCACGCCTTCGACCACCAACCCACACACCACCGCCAAACACACTCAGTCCCACCATGCAGCTCAACCAGTCGGGTGGGAAGATGAACGACTCAATTCAGTCGACTGAAGTCGACACACCATTGAAGGCCCAGCAAATGCTAAACGAATCCTCTAACTCTGCTACAATCGGAAATGCAATTTCTGTACCAAATGGGGTAAAATTCTCTCCACAAATGGGACGCCGTTCAACTAGCATTTCTTCAGCTGCAGATTGCTCCAGCCCAGCGGAATGTCGTTCAATATTCAGTCAGATTAATCCTGCTGCGAAATCGGAGGTGAAAACTGACTTGACTGCAGGAAACGAAATTAAGAACTTTTGTAATACATTTTCAACTGAAGTCAGTGATTTTAACCCACCCAATTCGACCAATATGCCTATGGAAAATGGTTCTTTGAGATTACTAGCGGACACAGAGGCGATACCGAATGCGTCGAATACAAACAGCTGCGCATCGGATTTCCACGACTAAAGCATAAACAAAGCACCAACAGAGAGGTCTTTGTGAGAAAATCTTCCTCTCAAAATTTACGTGTATTTTGTGCACTCATTATTACCATTATTAGATAACGTCATACATTGTTTGAAGTAGAAGCAAAGGGCGAAAAAACAGTACTTCAAAAAGAGAAGTGATGTTCATTTGTGCTTATTTTGGTTGGAAATAGTTTTGGGTGTCAATTTTACCACCCTATATCATTAAGTTTTACTGCTTCACTTATGATAGTTTGGGAGTTATGTCCCCTTAGCGACATTTATGTAGGTTATAAATGCATGCTTCCATTCCTTGCCATACCTCTACCTACTTCCTAAGTCGGTATTCCAGTGCAACTCTTTCTTCGTTTTCAAATACATACTCCTAAAAACTACTTGCGTTCGTTTGGGGTACTCGCAAGACGCTCAAATGGCTTAAAAGAACAAAAAATTCCTGCTTGCTGCAAGAGGGGAGCAAAAAACGTCGCTTCATGAGCGTTGATGAGGTCTGGAGAACAAGGGGTTTCGCATTGCACCCCACCTTTGTCAAAATTTGCCACTTTTCCCTATTATTCTTCTTATACTTCTTTTAAGTAACTTCTTTTCGAGTGTACTTACATTTCGCTATTAATACGTTCTCTCTTCTCCACATATATACTGTACGTTGGCTCTCTTCTTATCTACACGGTCCCAGTTATTTTATGCCCTCACCGTAACCGTCATCAGTTATGAATAGCTGATAATTATACGTCAGTAAATATTTTGCCAGCCTATAATTGTACTTTGTCACTGCAAAAATGAATTTTGTTGTTCATTTCCCTAATATATGTTTGCTTACCACCTTACAGAAAATGCTCTTGCCCCAGGGCACCGTAATCAAGCCAAGACACACTTCAGGGCATAGTAACAGAAAAATTATTTCCAAAATTGAGAAAGACCATGCATGTAGAAGCAATATTTTTGTATTTTAACATTCTTCTCCAATCTCTTAGTGCGTCGACTCCTAAAATTTGCCTGCGCATCAAGAAAGTGAAATAGATTTCTACCAAGGAAGGTCAAGCCAAAGCCTAGCTAAATTTGCAGGGCATGCATGTAAAACAAGTCCTTGATTGGTTGTAGTTATTGAGAGAAGGACCGTTCTTAGCAAAACGGAAGGCGGATCGCTAACTGAAAAGATTGACAGACAACCAGACTAGATTGGTCTGTTATTTCGGCTGGCACTTAGGTAAGCGAGATTATTCTCATTTGCCTGCACTCACTCTAAGTGGTTGATGTGAACAACATCTCGAAGTACCATCTTTTAACCGTCCCACTTCCAATCAAGACATGTGAAACCAGGTACAAAGAACGATGTAACTGTGACATCTCTCGTACCTCATTTTTTAATGGTTTCCCCCCCCCCCCCC